CCCCGCCCCCGCCCGTGGCGTTTGTCTCGGTGAGGGCGGCCGCCGCGGTGTGTGCACGTTGGCGGCTTGTCTGCCTTTGTTTCCCTGGCGACTTAGTCTCCCGATTTGCGGCCTAAGAGCCAGCACACCCGCTCGTCGAAGCCGTGGGGCGAGATCTGAAACGCGTATCAGAAGTTTCTCTCCAGCCGTAGCAGGGAAATACCCAGCGCTCCGTTTCTCCTGGAACCCACGGCTTCGCTCATTCCACGTCTGACGTGACCCGGTGCTGAGCCCGCCCCAGCCAGGGGGGTTCCTTGTACGCGGGAAGATAGTTTGCCGGTCCCCCTGCCCCCTTGTTTATGCGTTAACTTGATCGGAGGACGATGGATGTAACTGCGCCTGTGGAGTTACTCGCTTACGTTTTCCTTATTGGAATGACCAGGGCGAGAGAGACTCGTATCTTGAAGGCATTTGCTGTATGTCGGCATATTGCTTTATCAAAAAGCAGCTGCTTACCAGATTGTGGCCACCAGCCAGGTAAGCGTGTACACATTTAGGAAAAAGAAAAAAAAAAAGAGTGTACACATTTTGTGGCAAACTTTTGGGTTTCGGATATGTGTTTAAAAAAACCAAACTTCTGTTAGATACTAAACAGATTGCTTCAGTTTGTATTTTGTCACTGTAAGGGGAATTCTTCTTGTTCCCTGTCGAAAAGTTAGAAATTGCATATAAAAAATTACTTTTTCGGGGGAAGCCACATAGCCCTACCACCCCAAAATGTCACTGTATCTTTTTAGTGCGTTGAGCGCCTGATATGCAGGTTGCCATGCTAGCTGTTGGGTCATACTAGCGAGCGAGTTAGACTGGGTCCCTGTCCTTGTATCTTAGTGGGAGAAGTAGCCAGTTTAAAAAAAAAAAAAAAAAGGCCGGGCGCAGTAGCTAAGGCCTGTAATCCCAGCACTTTGGTAGGCCGAGGCAGGAGGATTACTTGGGCCCGGGAGTTCCAGACCAGCTTGGGCAACATAGTGAGACCTCATTTCTACAAAAAACAAAACAAAAGCAAAAATTAGCCGGACACAGTGGTGCCTTCCAGCTCTTGGGGAGGTTGAGGCCGGAGGATCACCTGAGCCAAGGAGGTGGAGGCTCTGGTGAGCTGTGATGGTGCCACTGCACTCCAGCCTGAGCAACACAGTGAGAACCTGACTCAAAAATGACGAGGTGTTACAGTGTCTGTAAGTGTTATAAAGAAAAGGCAAAGAGTGCTGAAAGGGGCACCTGCTTAGGCTCAGGCGTCTGGGAATGCTTTTTGAGGAAACGTATTTCAGGTGTAAGTCTGAAGTTAGCCTGGTGAAGTGGGAGAGGATGGGAGGGAGGTAAGTGGGAAAAGAGCATTCCGGAAAGATGGACCAGCTGATGAAGAAAGGTTTGGAATTAGAAAGACTCTTGGACGAGCAGAAAGAGTGGAAGAGCTGATGCTGGGCTGCCTGGAAGGGTCATGTATTTAAACAAACAGACTTCTGTTAGGTTCTAAACTGCGTGGGGAGCCGGCATCGGGAATGCTGGTACAACATGAAGAGTGGGAGTAGAGGGTGCAGGTAGGAGGGGAAAGAATCATTATGGGGCGCCTGTTTAAAACATTTTTTTACCTCAAGATCATTGAGTACTTAAAAAAAAAACCTCTGAATGACACATTTGTGTGTTTTCATTGCGACCCCTGGCATGACCCTTTCCAGAGAGAATCTCACCAACAGTTCGAATTCTGTGTCCTCCTTATCTCTCTGTGTGTGTGTGTGTGTGTGTGTGTGTGTGTCCCACTGCATTGTGGGATAATAAATTCTCTTCGTTTTTCTGTAGTTTTATTTTTTCACTGACAGATTTTGTCAGTATCTAAGTCAACTATACATTGAAAACATCTGTATTGTATTCCGCTGTATGGGCCGTAACTTGTTTAACTATTTGCACATTGATGGACATATTTAAAATTTTCTTAAGTCAATTATGCCCTGAAAAATCCTTGTTTCTACAATTTAGAGCACACGAATTACAATTTTCTTTAGATTATCCTACCAGAAATAGAATTGCTGAGTGAAAGGGTATACACATCAACATTGTTAACAGTGTGGTCAAATCCCTTTCCAAAAAGGACAGTATATGAGAGTGTTTTTCTTTCATCCTTTTTGACACCAGTTATCTTGAGTCTTTTGTAAACAATATCTTATTTTTTAACTTGGATTTGTTTGGTTACTGTTGAGCTTTTTAATTAATATTTTTAAAGTTATCTTTTAGGACTTACTCATATCTTGCTAATTTTTTTTCTGTTGGGTTGTTTATCTTAGTGATTTGTAATAGTTGTGTATTAAATTATATATTCATCCTTCAAAACAATTTTTAGCAAACTGTTTAAAAGCTCTTCACCCTCATACTATTTGTTGTGTTCTAGTCTTTTTCATTAATTTTTCACTTTAACTGTTTAGTCCATCTGCAGTTTATTTTCTTGTAAGGTGCTTTCATATTTTTGTATAAAGAACTTGTTTATGACACTGGTTTTCTAGTTCAAAATACACAGTTATTAAAATTCTAAGTCTGCAAGAAAGCTTTGTTAACTCTTGTATAGTGAGTCTGTATTCAAGGTGTCAGAATAAGGTGAAAACCAGAAAAATTGTTTATAATGAATTTACTTCCTATATACTAGACAGTTATAGTGCATTTTGAAGATTTTTTTTCATTTAAAAAACTTTTTGCTGGGCTCGGTGGCTCAGCCTGTAATCCCACACCTTTGGGAGGCTGAGGTGAGTGGATTGCCTGGGCCCGCAGGTTTGAGACCCGCCTGGGCAGGCGAGACCTCGTCTCCACAATAAATCAAAAAATCAGCCGGGCGTGGTAGTGCACGCCTGTAGTTCCGGCTACTCGGAAAGCTGAGGCGGAAGGATCGCCGGAGCCCAGCTGGTCGAGGCTGCGGTGGCCAGGAGCGGCCACTGCGCTCCAGTCTGGGCGACAGAGTGAGACTCCAACTCAAAAAAAAAAACCAACTTTTCAACTATGAAAAAATTCAACATACACAAAAGTAGTCAGAAGAAGACAACACAATGTGCACTGATCATCCAGCTTCTACAGTTATCTGGCCAATCCGTTTATCTCTATCACTGTTTTAACTCCTTCCTTGTTTGATTGATTGATTGGTTGATTGATTGATTGAGTTGGAATCTCACTTTGTCCCCAGGCTGGAGTGCAGTCGCACGCTCACTCACCACAGCCTTGACCTGCAGGGCTCAGGTGATCCTTACCTTAGCCTACCATGTAGCTATAGCTGTGTGCCTCCACGCCTGGCAAATTTTTTGATTTGTTGTTGAGACGAGTTCTTGCCAAGTTGCCCAGGCTGGCCTCAATCCCCTGGGCTCAGGCAGTCTTCTTACCTTGTATTATTTTGATGCAAATGCCAGACAACATATCTTTTATAAATATTTGAGTATATATCTCTAAAAGATAAGGACTCTTAAAAAAAAACCCACATAACTTCAATACTACTGTTTTATCTCAAAGAAAAGTGGCAGTAGTTCCTTGGTTATCATAAACAATCCAATCAGTATTCAAATATGTATGCATGTGAAATTTATTTTAATGGGAAGTTCAAATGACAACAGTCATGACTTTACTAGTTTACCTAATTACACAGGAGCTTGCATACTTAAAAAATGAGAATGATCTTCAATTTTATTGAAGCTGTTGACTTTTTTTACATATGGTGGTTTTTATTTTAATATTTTAGTTTTTATAAGGTTTATAAACATGTCTAAAGAGTCAATTGGTTGTGCAAGCCTTCTTTGTAAACAATATATGAATGGTCCCTGACTTAAGATTTTTAAATTGTACAGTGGTGTGAAAGCAATACACATTCAGTAGATATAGTACTTGGGGTACCCAAACAGTCATTCTGCTTTTCACTTTCAGTGCAGCATTCAATAAATTACATGAGATATTTAGCACTTTATTATGAAATAGGCTTTGTATTAGGTGACTTTACCTAACTGTAGGCTAATGTAAGTGTGCTGAGCACATTTAAGGTAGACTAGTGTGATGTTGAGTAGTATAGGAGTATTAAATGTTTTTTTTTTTTTCCTGAGTCTGAGTCTCACTCTGTCACCCAGGTAGAAAGTATAGTGGCATGATCATGCCTCCCACAGCCATGACCTTTTGGGCTCAGGCAAGCCTTCCGCCTCAGCCTCCCAAATAACTAGGACTACAGGCATGTCCCACTATTCCGGGCTAATTTTTTGACTTATTTAAGAGATATGAGGGCTTGCTGTGTTGCCCAGACTGATCTCCAACTCCTGAACTCAGGCAATCCTCTCTTGTCAGCCTGCTAGACGTACAGGTGTGTGCTCAGCCTTAAATGCATTTTCAACTTAACATTATTTTCAATTTACAATGGGCGTATCGGGGAAGTTACCCAATTGTAAGTTGAGAGCTATCTGCATGTGGTATGACTTTTTTTTTTTAACTTTTTTTTTGAAATAATTTTAGACTTTTGTAAAAGTTGCAACAGTAGTACAGAATTTTTCTGTGTACTTTTACTTAGTTTTCCCCAATGATGGCATTTGGCAATTTAAAGTTTATTTGAATCAGAATCTAAAACAGGTCCATATATTGTGATTGGTATATATTTTACATCTCCTTTAATATCTGATGTTTAAAAATTTCCCTCCTCTCTAAAATGTGAGTTTTTCATGAATGGTTCTGTGACACAGCAAGAGAGGCTAAGATTTGGAATCAGAAATTTTTAACTTTTAACCTTTGTCTTCATTATTTACAACATAATGGATTTGGTCAGTGGTTTAATTTCTTTGACCCTTAGTTTTCTCATCAAAATGAGAATGCCAGGGAAGTTTTTCTGAAGGCAAGGTAAGATTATTTCATAAACATTTGTTGTTCAGAATTATGAATTGTGCTGGGTAGCTAACCATTCAGAGTAGGGATTGTGTTCTCAAATTGTTTACAATAAAAGAGGCAAACTGGTACATGAATAATTATAATCTGATCTGTGAAACAGTAAAATATTTTCAAGGTTCATTGGAATTGTAATGACAGGAGTGACTAACTTTTTGAGTGTCAGAGAATGTTTCTCACCAGATATTGGTGGAGTTGAGTCCAAAGGAATATGTAGGGATTATCTGACACAAGGGCTTTAGAAGTCTGGGATAACAAGTACAGTCTTACATACGCAGCTGAAATGAGACTGGTTAGCAAGGCGCAGAGGGAGCAGTGCCTGAAAAAATCTGGAGAGACTGGCACCAAGTGCTGTGTATGGGTTCCTTGTAAACTGGAAAGCTGTCTAATATTTTAGTTACGCCTTTGGGATTAGTTTACCTAATTACACAATAGTATACATGCTTGTAAAATGTGTGTGATAATCTTCAATATATATTTTTATATGATAGCACTTGTTTCTCTTAAAATTAGATTTTATTTTGTGAGGTTTATAAATAAATCTAGTTGAAAGAGTCATCTAACCTGAAGACTTCTTTTGAGAAAACAGCACTTCTGAATTCCACTGCTCCCTCTCCTGGCAACCACTTTCACATTTTAAGTCACATGCCTTTGTTGCTACTTCTTGATTTTTAATTTTAGTAATTATCTGTTGGTTGCTACTAGGCAAGAATTAGCTCCTTTCTACACCTGTATCTGCTACTTCTGTTAAATACCTCCTCTCAGTTATTGTTGGGCCAGTATTTAGTGTTTATAGTATTATGGATATTTAAATCATAAGCAACTGAGTCATGTGTGTTGTGATTACTTTCCCTTTTCTGTACATCTTCTTGTTTTCTCTGGAATTAATAATTATCTTTTTTGTTTATTTGTTGGCTTAGTTATATACTCTTACTCTTTTTTTTTTTTTTTTTTTGAGTTGGAGTCTCAATCTGTCCACCCAGACTGGAGGGCAGTGGCATGCTCCCGGCCACCACAGCCTCACCCTGCTGGGCTCCAGCGATCCTTCCGCCTCAGCCTCACAAGTAGCCAGAACTATACAGGCGTGTGCTACCACGCCTGGCTGATATTTGATTTATGGTAGAGACGAGGTTTCGCCAGGTTGCCCGGGAGGGTCTTGAACCTGCGGGCTCAGGCAGTCCGCTCACCTAGGCCTCCCAAAGTGCTGGGATTACAGGCTGAGCCACCAAGCCCGGCTAGGGTACTGCATTTTAAATATACTCATACCTGTTTTTCTTTTTTTTTTTTTTTTGAGTCAGTCTCACTCTGTCACCCAGGCTGGAGTGCAGTGGCACGATCACAGCTCATCGCAGCTTCAGCCTCCCAGGCTTAGGCGATCCTTCCGCCTCAGCCTCCTAAGTGGCTGGGGCTACAGACTTACGCCACCATGGCCGGCTGGTTTGTTGATTTTCTTGTCAGATGAGGTTTTGTTGTGTTTCCTAGGCTGGACTAATGCCTGTTGTAACTATTTTGGTTAAATTTAATGTTCTTAATAGGTACAAAGAAACCTAGTAGTATTAAAGTAATTTGACGTTTAAAGGTTTATGTTAAGTAGTAATTTAAAATCTGAAAGTAATAGGTTTTTTTATAAAACTCATTTGATTACATTTATATTTTAACTGAAATAGGTGATTCTTTTTATATTTTTATTATGAATCCTCAAAAAAGAAGTAGAACCTGTCAGGATTTTTATGATCATTAGTGTCTAACCTTGTCTTCTAATGTTTATAGGGATATACAACTACTGTATGTATAATTTATTAATTCAAAAGACCTGATGAACTTCATGTTTGTCCTCTCCTACCAGATCAGCTTCTTATAAAAAAGTCCAGTAAATTTTTTTTTTTTTTTTTTTTGAGTTGGAGTCTCACCCTGTCGCCCAGACTGGAGTGCAGTGGCCGCTCCTGGCCACAACAGCCTCGACCTGCTGGGCTCTGGCGATCCTTCCGCCTCAGCCTTCCAAGTAGCCAGAATTACAGGCATGTGCTACCACACCCGGCTGATTTTTTGATTTATTGTAGAGATGAAGTCTCGCTGCCTAGGCGGGTCTAGTAAATTTAGAAAGCTGCAAACCATAGTTTTGTTTTACATATAAAAGTCTTTAAAAAATTTGAATTAAAGTAGCCAAGTTTTTAAATTTACTTTTTAATAGAAATTTTATATGTTTCTAATGTACAGTAAGATGTTTTGAAATATGTATAAAGAGTTGCCAGTTTTATTTTTTCTAAATTTACTTGACCAGAAGCTCTTTAATAGCATTCCTACTAATATCCACAGGACTTTTTTTTTTCTGTTAGAGTCTTACTCTGTTGCCCAGGTGGAGTGCAGTGGCATGATCATGGCCACCTCAGCCTTCCAGATAGCTGGAACCACAGGCACACACCACCATGCCAGGCTAGTTTTTTGATGTATTGTAGAGATGTGGTCTTGCCGGGTTGCCCAAACTGGTCTCGAAGCCCCGGGCTCAGTAATCCTCTTGCCTCTGCCTCCCCAAGTGCTGGGATTACAGGCAGGAGCCACCACACCCGGCAGGACTTTACTAAGTAATACCTTTTGTCTGACTGCAAGTTATGGAGAATATAATTTTTCCTAATGCCATCTTTTTCTCTCTGGTTTTATAGTGACAAAAATGCTGAGCTTCTTCCGCAGAACACTCGGGCGTCGCTCTCTGCGTAAACATGCTGAGAAGGAACGACTCCGAGAGGCACAACGAGCTGCCACACATATTCCTGCAGCTGGAGATGCCAAGTCCGTCATCACGTGTCGGGTGTCCCTTCTGGATGGTACTGATGTTAGTGTGGACTTGCCGGTATGTAGGTCTTGCTGAGCTCCAAATTCTGTATGAGATGGCTGTGTTGATTTGGCCTTTCTGCTGATGCCTTCTGTGAGGAATTAGGTATGAGTTAATATGGACCAGGCACTGCAGCATTCAGGGACATGGATCGGGTGACCTTAGACCAAAAGTCTTGGAATGGTAGTATTTCTCTTTGGAATTAGTGGCAGTTACCTGAAACATTCAATGACAGGGCAGTTATTGTAGTGAGTCATCTTTGTTGTATATATTTATGTGTATTCTTTATGATGGCAGTGCATCATATAATCTAGTGGATTTATCACAGTGTTTGTTGAGCTGTTATTAAAACATTGAGAATCTTTGGGAACGATAATGTACTTATATGGATATTATAAAACTTGTCATTTTTTATACACTTCTTTATTTTTTAATACTCCCTTTACTCTCTTCAAAATAAAATGAATACGTCTCCACAATTTCATTTGTGTGTAGAAATTTTAGTGAAATGAAATGAGAAAAAGGACTTTGATTATACCACTCAGCATTGACTGCCTGTCTCTTTGCACCTACAGTAGTTTGCATTCTGTTTTTCATATAATGTAGTCTTTATTTCAACTCAGCTGTTGTAATAATATTGGCATTTTAGGTAGTTTTTTAAAAAAACAGCTACAAATGCATAATCATAATAAAGTGTGAAACCTAATATATTTGAAAGAGGTTAGCTTATTTCTTATAGGTCTTTTTGAGATGGGGTGCCACTTTTTGGTTTTGGGCAGTTACTTTTTTTCTGAGTTGTTGCTAATGCCAAATCTCTTTCTCATGTCTTTGCTCTGCATTCAAAGACTTACTGTAAATGATGTGATTTGATGTAAGCTTCGTTAGATGTTCCTCAGTGTCTTTCCTCCCTGCAGGCTTTTCAGGACATACTCATTTACACAAAATTCAACTTAAAAAATTCTCTTAGCACAAAGTGATAGCCTAGATACTGCTGTCATACATAGTTGAATTAACTTTTCAATGCCTGAAACTCACCAAGTGATAGTTTAAAGGATTGGATACTTTAAATGAATATACTGATTACCTGAATAATTTGGAATGTATTAGGTATTTGCCTTATTCATTTAAAAATATTGGAATATGATAAGATTAGTCAAAGACTCAGGATTTCTTGAAATGTTTTTAAGTTATCATTATGTGTGTTTTTATTTTTGTATATTAGACTGCACATTTTTAAGAGTTTTTGATTCTGGAAAATGTTGAGATACCTAAATTTTCTTCCTGTAAGGACTTCTTGAGGGTTTATCCGACATTCCAACATGAGATATTTTGCGAGGATAGTTTCATAATCATTTCTTATTTGATAAGAATCTTGAGTTTTGTGTACGATTCCATTAAAATATCATTAGATACGTGGTGAAAAGTCTGAGATTGCTGTGTAGGAGACTGGAAAGAAGTTTCTTATTAACTAATGTTCGTGGTATGAAATCTCAGGGTTGCTGATGGATAGGCTGATACTAGGAGAGTAACATTTTTAAAGCTTTTTAAAAAGGCAGTGTACTGTGGAAAAGAAATGGCACTAACTGTTAAAGTAGTGGTACAAGTGGCTAGATCTAGAATGATTTTCTAAGCTTGTGCTCAATAGGGTGTATGTGAGGCTTGATCAAGTCCAGAAGTGCTAACTCAAGTGTCCTCTCATGGGAACGACTACAGTGGAACAACCAGAGTTTTAGACTTGATTCTTAATGGATCAAGAACAGCTCTGCAGGTGGAATCTTGGTGTTATTAACCTAACTTCAAATACTTGCTTGAATGTAAAACGGGTATTAGCTTGCCAGCTAACCTGTCTTACTAAAGGAAAAAAATTAGCCAGAGGATCATTCATTTCTAAAGACGTGTTTCCCTTTTTCTGATTTAGTTTCTCAGCCGGTCCTCTGATTCTTGAAGATTTAGAATGGATTTTGGGAATGAAGTAAGCACATACCCATTCATGAGCATTAGGGTCACTGGTGATTGTAGATAGCCATCTTGATAAGCGTAAGCTAGGATGATTGCCAGGCAGTTTGTCAGGGCCCATCTGTGATTAAATCGGGGCTTCAGATTAATGTCTACCAGTGATGATCATTTTCTTACTCATGCTCTCTTTTCCTCTCACAGTTTGGTGAGGGACTTATGTACCTATAACTTTCTTTAAAAACAACAACAGCAGCAAAAAACTAACAGTGAAAGTGCCTTTCAGTGAATGACAAAAGATACCAGGTGGGAATTTCCAGCCATTTGATTTTTAAGTTTTCTTTTGAAAATGTTACAGTAAGCTCTTTTGATTTAAGAGCTTAATAATACTTAGTAAATAGCCTGTCATGTAAAACTCTGTATCTTTAAGGTTTAAATTAGGAAATACTTGATTAATTAACCAGTAAATTATTTTATGTGCCTTTCTTACTAATATAGGTGCTAAAGGCCTTAAATTATATGGACCATGCATACTGATGCTTCTAAATAAATGAAAACCATCCCATGTCCATGAATTTGAAGACTTAAAGTTGTTGGGATGGCAGTACCCCCCAAACTGGCCTGCAGATTTAGCTCAGTCCCCCTCAGAATTCCAGCTGGCCTGTTGGTAGGAATTGACAAGCAGATTCTAACATTCATGTGGAATTGCAAGACCCTGGATAGCCAAAACAATATTGAAAAAGAAGAGCTAAGTAGGAGAACTCACACTTCCTAGTTTTAAGACTTGGTAAAAAGCAATATAATCACCTGGTGCGGTCACTCATACCGGTAACCCCAGGACTTTGGGAGGATCACTTGAGGCTAGGAGTTCAACACCTGCCTGAAAAACAAAGCAAGAACCTGTGTCTACAAAAAAATAAAAATAAAAAACTAGCTGGGTGTGGTCATGTGCACTTGTAGTCCTAGCTATTCAGGAGGCTGAGGTGAGAGGATCACTTGAGCCCAGAAGTTCAACGATGCACTGAGCTGTGATCCCACCCTTGCACTCTAGCCTGGGTAACAGAATGAGACCCTGTCTCTTAAAAAAAAAAAAAAGAGTATTTGCAAATTATATGTCTTAAAAGGGACTTGTATCTAGAATATATAAAGAACTTTTACAACCCAATAAGAAAAAGACAACCTAATTTAAAAATGGATAAAGTATCTGAATAGATGTGTCTCCAGATAAGATACATAGATGGCCAGCAAACACATTAGAAGAAGAAATGTGGCATCATTATTCATGTAGAAATGCAAAATAAAACCATAGTGGGATACTACTTCACACCAGTTAAGAAAGCTAAAATAAAAAAGTCAGGCGATAGCAAGTGTTGATGAGGATGTAGAGAAATCAGAACCCTCAAACATTGCTGGTGGGAATGGAACATGATGCAGCTGCTTTAGAAAGCAGTCTGGCAGTTATTCAGATAATTAAACATAATTACCATGTGATCTAACAATTCCACTTCCAGGTATATACCCAAGAGAGTTGGAAATGTGTTTACACAAAAACTTGAACACAGATGTTCATAACAGCATTATTTATAATAGCCAAAAGGTAGAAACAACCTATTTGTCCATCAGCAGATGAATGGATAAATAGAATGTGTTATATTCATATAATGGAATGTTATTTAGCCATCAAGGAGATGAAGTACTGATATACGATGGGGGGACACCAAAAAACCTGGAATATATTTATAAAAAATTGTGTCTTTAGTCTGGGTGTAGTGGCTCATGCCCGTAATCCCAACTCTTTGGGAGGCTGAGGTGAGAGGATTACCTGAGCCCAGGGGTTTGATACCAGCCTGGGCAACTTGGTGAAACCTCATCTCTATAACAAATAAAAAAATTAGCCAGATGTGATGAGCGCTTGTAGTTGCAGCTACTTGGAAGACTGAGGCAGAAAGGTCCCCTGAGCCCAGCAGGTCGGAACTGTGGTAGCCATGAGTATGTCACTACACTCCAGCCTGAGTGGTGGAGTGAAAATCCTTCTCACAAAACAAAATTTGTGAATTTATTCTTGTTTAAATTCCAGTCACCTTCAAGCCATGCCCCTATTGAGATCCTTTTTCCACTGCTCATAGCGTTTTAAACTAGTCAATTTTGATGCCTTTTAGTGCTTCTGCTTGTCTCACCTCTCTCCTATAGGCAAAATGTGTCTCTCTGAGGACTCTTTTCATTGGGGAAACAAACAAGTTGCTCGGGGTGAGATGAGATGAACGGGGAGGGTGGGCATTGGAGTTATGCCGTTTTCTGCTTCAAAAACAAACGAACAAAAAAACTGCTACTAAACACTCTGTGCGGTGTGGGCAGGTTCACTAGTAAGTCGCCCATCATTGAATGGGCAAACACCTGAAAGGATGTCCAAAAAGAGAAAAAATTCACTGAAGCCGAACTCAGCCTCTCACAGCACTAGCTGGTACACTGATGCTTGTGGGTTCCTAGAACACTTACCTGGAGCGGGAAGCCTGTACTTCAAGGGGCCTGTCCCCCAAAAGAATTGGTTTTCTTTAAATCCCCCGGTATGCTACAATATGGATAAGTTTTGAAAACATGTTAGTAAAAGAAGCCAGTCACAAAAGACCACATGCTATGATTCCATTTATGTGAAAGACCAGAATAGAGCAGTCTGTAGAGGAAAAAAACTAGAGTAGTGACTACTTAAGGTAGGTAGGCCTGCCTGTGCTACCCAGGCTGACCTCAGCCTCCTGATTAACTGGGACTATAAACGTGCATGCTACCTTGCCCGGTTCGGAGTTTCCTTTTGAAGGATGACATGATCTAAACTTAATTTTTGTGATGTATGTATCTTAAATGTACTAAAATCCTTTGAGTTGTATACTTTTTCTTTTTTAGAGTTAGGGTCTCACTCTGTCATCCAGCCTGGAATGCAGTGGCCTGATAATAGCTCACTGTAGCCTCTAATTCCTGGACTCAAGGGATCCTCCTGCCTTGGCCTCCCAAGTAGCTGGGATTACAGGTACACATTACCATGCCTGGCTGACTCGAAAACCTTTTTTTTG